ATATATATATATATATGTATGGAACTACAGTGAGGTGTATTGATATCACTATATGTTATATTTTTAATAAAAAATCATTTTTATTTCTTGATGGTTGTTCTAAGCTATTTGGCAAAAGGAATACATTCATTTTTAATGAAATTACTCACCTAACAATTTCGGGTCAATAAAAAGAAGTTGGGGAAAATTGTAAAGTTTTTCGGTTGTTTCTTAACTTTTTTTTAAGAACAATATATTTTCTATTAAGTATAAATATTTATATGATGTCAATAAATTAAAAAGTCATTTTAAACATAATATTTTTGAAGTAACTATGACAAAGTAAATATTATCCTATTATTCATGATTGAATTATCATTGTAAAAAATATTTATAATATTAGTGTATTCTAATTATTATTTTTGTTAATTAATATAATATTTTAATAATTTTATAGTCGATATTCACTAACATTCCACTTAATATTTGATACTTGACAGGTATTTCTATTCTTTCTTTATAAATAAAATAAAAGCTTATTTTGATATCACTTTTTTTAAAAAAATATTAAACTATTTTTTGTACTAAATGTCGAAAGCATTGATTATCAAAACCAAAAGAAATATGCAATTATCAGATATTTTCCAATATTTTTGTTTGAGAAAATTTCTTGTAAATTGTAAGTCATTTGGTTTGCGATTTTTTTTTTTTGTTTTAATTTCATTAAACAAATTAGCACAGGAATTAAAGTGTTAACAGAGATAATCAAAATATAAAATAATAAAAAAATAGTCTTTACTATTTTTTTCTATACAAACATTTAGAGAGAAAAAAAAAATAAACTACACAGCCACTTTAAATAGTACTAATAGTCACGAGTTACTTCCAATTTTCGTTTTGTTGTAATGGTTGAGTTTTCGTATTGAAAATAGCTAAGATTAGGAGGATATTTAAAAAGTTGAGAAATTAATTAATAAGATAATAAGTGAGAGAAGATAATGTAAAATCAGTTAAAGATTGAATTATAGAAAATAACACTAATTACACACCAAAAAAAGTTATACCTAACCTAAGTTTTGATAATATTAAAAATGGGGTCAATTTAATTGTATGAATTTGAATAAAGGATAGATATGAAAGGTTGAATTATGAATAGTCTTTTTCAAAAGAAAACAAAGATCTAAATTAAGACAAGGAAAGCTTACCTGGATACCCGTATAAGGTTAAGAGATGATAAGAGATAATTATCAACTCAAGCAATTTCATAGCAATCAAAAGAAA